AAATATGGACTGCTACTTGGAGAGGTCCCAGTTCACCTCCTGCCCTGCCGTGGTGCCCTTGAGCAAGGCACCGGACACCCCCCTTCCCCCCTCACTCCCATTGCTCCCAGAGCGCTGTGCAATAGCTGCCCACTGCTCCTAGTGCTAGACTCCTGGTGCTAGGATGGGTTAAAAGCAGAGAACACATGTCACTGTGTGTGCTCTGCATGTGAGACCATTAACGAGGGGTTCATCCCTCCTGATTCTAAAATCCGCTCAACGTTAACAAACTAGAAGATTAACATATTTTTATTTTGTGATAAAAACAGGATGATATTATAAATACTTTGAAAGAGCCCTCCTGCGTACTTTTACTTTTGGTACTTCAGAGCGCTGCTGTCCTCACTGACACTAAGAAAGTGGATCACTCCTGTTCTGAGGTCTTTGGGAGGTGTGTGGCGCAGTGGGTTGTGTATTGGTGTTGGGATCAGGGGGTCACAGGTTCAAACCCCACTGCAGTCAGCATGTCGTTGTGTCCCTGAGACACTTCACCCCAAATTGCTCCTGTGGGGATTGTCCACAGTATTTATTGAGTATGTAAGTCTAACAAGTAACATGTAATGTCATGTAAAGTCTTTACACTGGCTTCCTGTGTGTCAAATAACTGATTTCAAAATACTGCTGCTGGTTTATTAAGCATTGAATGGTTTAGGCCCAAAATACATTTCTGATCCCCTTCTAAATGATGAACCATCCAGAACTCTCAGGTCTTCTGTCTGCTTTAGTCAGAACCAAACATGGAGAAGTTCAGTTATTATGCTCCAAATATCTGGAACAAACTCCCAGAAACCTGCAGGTCCGCTGCAACTCTGACTTTTAAATCCAGGCTGAAGACTTTTCTTTATGCCGCTGCTTTTAATTGAACTATTCACATCTCACATTGCACTGTAACTTTTATTCATACCTGTGTTATTCTATATTAGCTTGTTTATGTTTACCATATCCTCCTTATTTTACTTTCTGCATATTCAAACAAACATAACATCATTTAATTAATATTTTGTTATGAATTATGATTTTTTAAATGATGTTGAATTATTTAAATAAATATATATATATATATATTGTGCATTATTTCCTTATTTTCTATACAATGTAAGGATGTGTTTTCATTTTTATTTTATTTACCATTTGTTATATTTAATATCTTTCTTACTTGTTTACTAGTTTACTTAATTCGTTTTAAATCACTTTTCGTTATATTTGATATTCTTATTCAATGTTAGTATGAATTGAGCTGTTTCTGTATATTTTATTGTTTGTAAATCCTTATTTTTTATTAAAAAAATTAAACATTAAGGTCTTAAATTATCCATGTTTGACCGTCCTCTCTGCAGGATCGCGACCCACATGTTGAGAAACGGAGTTATTTTAATGTATTACTTTTACGGAATGATATTGTTTCTAATCTGCAGAAATAACAAACCTAATCTCACTAAATAATTGATATGATTTTATTTACGTTGTTTTCTATTGTGTTATTGCAGCTGGTTTGACACCACAACCCCGCTGCTTCGCCTTTCATCACATTATAGTAACACATCATTTATTGGACTATCATTTAGGTTATCAAAACATATATAAATAAATATAATAAATCAACACGGCTGAGGATTACACGAAAAATGACATTTTGGAACTGAATAGGTGGACGCATTATTTGGCAACGCTGGTTTTTTAGCTGCCAGGATTTGCATCCCCCTGTTATTGCAGTCAAGAAGAGTGTCTCATGAATGAAGCTCACCCTGTCCACTCAAAACAGTACAACATCTCAGCTGGTAGAATAGTTTAATCCAACGGTGTATTTTAAGGAACTTAATAGATGGATGCATTATTTGGCAACGCTGCTCTTCCACCTGCCAGGATTTGCATCCCCCTGACATTTTGATTTCCGCAATGAACTTTTCCCGTGAGATCTTCCGGTGTATTATTTATTTAATTAAACATGACTCACCGTTTCTCTTTAAATTCGGATTTAAAACACAACTTTGATAAAAATAAGAAGAAAATATAATTGTTTGTAGATTATTCAAGTGTTTTTTCAAGTAAAAACGAGTTTAAAAAAAAAAAAAAAAATCGGTGATCATTTTGCGGTAAAATCTAAATAAATTGTTTTGTAGTCAAATATACTTCTATGTTTGTTTTAAACACAGGATATGGTTATACACGCTGTTAAAACACATTATCTTTGTATAAAATATCGCGTATTTGATCATATTTAGGCAGTTTTGCGGATTTTAATTACAAAAAAAGGCCTTAAAGTTCAAATCCCCTGTGGTGTTAAAAACGAGATAAATATCAATGATCATTTTGTGGAAAACACCAAAATGAAGTTGTGTTTTCTTTTCTTACTGTAATGTTTGTTTTAAACACACAGTTATTACCGCTGTTTAAGCAAATGAACCAACATTGTATCGAAATACGACCCGACGATTGAGCGCGATTCCTATAAACATTTTAAACGTAAAAACGATCCCTTAGGTTATAAATTAACTATCTCCTTTCAAAGCAATAAATAATCCCTTACATTTAGATTAAATAGAGCAAAACAAGATCTTTGAATCATCAGAAACGTAGTCCTCTCCTCTGAAGTTCCCTCTCCTTGAATGGTGAGTTTCGAAAGAGACTTTCATTAAATAATATATGAAATCAGCTTTTAATATGTGATGGGAATGCATTTTTACAGGATAAGTGATCATGTCAGACAAAAGCTATAATGACTTTTAGTGTCCTCCAGTGACGGCATGTATCCAAGAGATCCACTTGCAATAATAGCACACCTTAAGCTGCTAACTCATCCTATTGCGTTATTGATTCACTATTCCAAATACAGTTGTACGGTTACAGTTTACACATTTGCTCTTCACCTGCCCAATTATAAATAGTGTCTTTAAGTAATTAATAATGCTTACGATGTATATAATTAAGTTGGAAAATTGTGATTTGGAGGCGTGTGGTTGTGCGTTGGTGTTCGGATCAGGGGGTCACAGGTTCAAACCCCACTGCAGTCAGCATGTCGTTGTGTCCCTGAGACCCTTCACCCCAAATTGCTCCTGTGGGGATTGTCCACAGTATTGAGTCGCTTTGGATAAAAGCGTCTAACAAGTGACATGTCTGTCATTTGAATCATAATCTTGAAATCTTCCGAAAGTGTGGTGTTTACTTTCTCAGATGAACCGCATCCTCTTTGTGGGTCGCTCAGAACATTTGATCGTTTTGTTGTGTATTCATTTTCAATATTTCTGAACTCACCAAACCATCAATAACGTCTCATTGTGTATTTTAGGAATGCCAGGAGACTGTTTTGTTGTTTTGGAAACCACGTTTTAATGGAACACATAGTGTCTTTAAGTCATTAATAATGCTTACCATGTCTAACATGTAAGTTGTGATTTAGCTTCATTACGGAACTCTGCTGCTTTTTAATTAGATGTTTTTCATATTTTATAACAATTTTTTATAATTATAGGTCGTAAAATACAATTTGCAAATATAAGAGTACTTTCAAAGCGCTGCGAGGGTCCTGAGGGAAATACTACTACTACTAATGATTTAAATCCTTATATAAGATGATGTATATAGTTTTAAAATGACTCACAGTGTGGAGGACTGCACGTGGGGGCGAAACACGAAGAAAACAGGTAGATCATGTTTTAAAATGAGTATTGGTTATATTTTGTGAGGAAAAGTAAATACAACTGGATAGAAAGAAGTAAAACCACTGAACTGATGTTCCAGATAAACACTTGGTGCTGATGGCACATGGCACATGGACTAATAACAGATCAATAAAACACCAATTAGTATTATTAGTATTATTAAATCTGCAATACTTTCCCCTCTCACATTTAGGTTATAACGATAGGTCTATTTATAATTGTCAGATCATTTTCTCTGTAAGTTAATCAAAAAGGAAACGAAAATTAAATTAAAATATAATTATAATAATGCAGGAAATGAAGGAACATTATAACAATAATAAAAATGAACATGGACAAACCATAGGCTATCAATACAAGTATAGCATAAATCACATTAACATTAAAACACAATGATTTAGAGAACTAATACGATCATTACACGTTTAATGGGGATAATAAATAGATATCTATCGTGTTTGATCATAACTATTTCAACACACACACACACACACACACACACACACACACACACACACACACACACACACACACACACACACACACACACACACACACACACACACACACACACACACACACACACATGCTGATTGTATCAAAAACTGCAAATACTATAAGCGAAAGACTAGTTAGTTATTTAATCATACTAGTTATATATATATAGTATAATTATAATATAAAAACACTAATTGCATTTAAGTTTATTATCTGATAAATATTATTATTATTATTATTATGGCACAAACTCACAGAAATACGCAGATTAAAGAAACGGTATTAAAAGATGTCAGTCAGGAAACAAGCACTAAGTGAAACCCTCATAATGAAAACATAAAAGGTGAAGAAGATGAAGAACAAGAACAGACAATAATAAAAACAAATATTGCAAATCACCACAATAGACCCCTGAATGCATGCACATAAATAAACCATTTAGAAATAATTAAAGCCCTTAAAGATAAGATAAGATAAGATAGTACTTATTGATCCCAATTTGGGAAATGTTTGTATTGCAGCAGCATAAAAGACATGGCATTGTATAATAGAAATTAAAAAGACTAGAACTAAACAAAAACATTCAAAATATACATGTTGAATTTACAATTTAACAATAACAAAAACAAAATATTAAGCAAGTATATAAGGTGATGAAGAGGGCTCACCCTGGAAGCGGAAATAATAAAAACGACTGTTGCAAATCAAACTGCTAAAACACCACAATAAACCCCAGAATGCATGCACATAAATACACATTTTTTTAAATAATTAAAGCCCTTAAAGCAAAGGAAGAGGGCTCACCTTGGAAGCGGTGGCCCATGTACCGGCTCCGTAGCACCCAGGGGTAGAAGCCCAGCTCCCGGTGCTGCCCGGTGCCGAAGAAGCTCTGCGGAGGGATCTGCAGCGGGTGAAGAGGCAGTCCTCCCCCGGGACTCTGCGTGTGTGAGTCCGGGTGAAGAAGCCCCATGTCCGGCCCGGAGGATCCGTACAGGGAGGAAGAAGAAGTCCTCCCCGGGAAACAGGAGCCGAACACCCCGGGGTGCAGAGAGTCCGGGAAGCGGAGCGCGGTGGGTCGGATCGGTTCATCTCCTCCTCCTCCTTCTCCGCTCACCCCCTTCCCCACCAGGGACTCTATGGTGAAGCACCTTCTTGGTGTTTCCGTGGTGGAACATTTTAAAGATGAAGATGTGAACAATTCTCAGATTCCCAGGTTCTCATATCTCCTGTGCGTAAAACTAACCAAAACAAATCCTTAAGTTTCCCCACACCTGTGTGTCCGGGGCGGTGTCTCTCTCTCTCTCTCTCCTCTCCTCTCTCTCCTCTCTCTCTCTTTTTCCTCTCTCTCTCCCTCTCTCTCAGCTCCCCGGGCCTCGTCTTCTGGCAGTCCCGCACTCTCTCTCTCTCTCACTCCCCCTACCATCCGGTGTCGTGAGGTCGTGGAGGGATCTCGGGCTCCTCTGTGCGTCTCTCGGGTGTCTGGGGAAGGGGGGGAAGAGGGATTCGTCGGGGAAGGCGGTGTGGGAGGGTTGTTCCCGGGCTCTCTGAACTCTCGTCTCTCGAATCTCTCTCTATCTCTCTCTATCCATCCTCCTTCTTAATCTCCTCTCCCTCTCTCTCTTCTTCTCTCTGTGTGTTTCTGTGGTGATAAAACCCCCAAAAACTTCCTCCAGAAGTCTCCGGTGGTGCAGGCGGTGGATCCTGGGAGCTTGCAGCCGGGTTTTGAGATGCAGGGCGGCGGGCAGCGGGGCTCTGGTGTGTCGGTGTCTCCTCCTCACATGCTGCAGAGTGAAGCCGGGAGTGTGTGTCTGTCTCTCGGCTCCGGGAGGGGGAGATACCTGCCCTGCCCTCCCTGCCGGAGGTGCGCCGGGCATGCGCAGAGGAGACCTCTCCAACAGCCATTTTGTGGAGGAGGAGGGAGTGATGATGAGTGACAGTAATGATGAGGAATAATATTAATGAATTTGAATATATACCTATCCTTTTTTTTATTATTATTATTAGTTTATATTATTATTATTATTATTTGTACTTTATTGTTTTTGAATTCTTATTTTTAAATTATGTTTAATATTTTATTGTTCATATTATATGTGTCCTGTTTAATTTAGTAGTATTATTATTATTATATATGTATTGGAAACGTATTATTAATGTTTAATATTTAATATTATATACTTTCTTTAGTTTTTTGTTATAACAATATAATATTTGTATTTAATTATTTAAAAAACAAATACTATGTTCATTCAATTCATTTATTTATAATTGTTTTTGTTTTATTTACTTCTCATTTTGAAGTGTGTTTTATAACGACGATAAAGCTTGAATACGACAAAAAATCATAGTCTGAACAGGAAAAGATGCCTTTAGCTCAGTGTCTGTGTGTGTGAGTGTGTGTGTCTCCCCTGAGCGACAGGTCAATTGACACAGAACAAGACAATTGACCCCAGGGTCAAAGGTCAGAGGAAACCTCCCTCTGTTATCCGTTCCTCTCTCAGGGTGTGAGTCTCAGCTCTCGTTTCCTAAAGACAGTAAACACCTGTCAGTCAAGAACACTTCAGTTTACTTTATTATTGATAATAATGTTGGGCTATAAAGGAACTACAGCACGGTCACATGACTTCACGTCACCACCGCTAAGCTAAAGGCGGCTAATGTTGGGCTATAAAGGAACTACAGCACGGTCACATGACTTCACGTCACCACCGCTAAGCTAAAGGCGGCTAATGTTGGGCTATAAAGGAACTACAGCACGGTCACATGACTTCACGTCACCACCGCTAAGTTAAAGGTGGCTAATGTTGGGCGTGATAACGTTTAGTCGTCTAATTTAGACACTCGTTAGCAACCGCCATTTTAAAATTCACCAGTTGGGTATTTATTGTCATATTTGACGTCGTAGAATAGAAATCTCTTCTGCTTCTGTAAACCACAGACCTTATATTAGGCTAACAACCAAAAACACATACAAAAAAAACATTGACTTCGAGACTAGGGAACAGGAAGTGTCAAAATGCCTACTCATATCTGGGTTTTAGGACTCATTCCTGCACCCCTCTATCGGCCCTGAAGTGAATTCCCACCTGCTGCATGACACAAGCTCATATTTACTTTTCATCGTTAGAATAAAGTCACTTCGACGTCACGCTCGGCCTTCCTGTGCAGCTTTTGGACCTGTAGGACAAATGGCAGCTCATTGAGGGGCCTCTAATTGTGGCCCCGGGACTCAGCACAAAGCCCCCCCCCCACCTCCCCCCACAATGGACTGCCCTGCGGAGGCCCGTGTGAACCGATGAGCCCCATCCTGCCCCCCCCCCCCTCATGTTAATTAATAGGCCTTGCTGGCAGAGTTGGACCCCGCTCAGCTTTGATTGAAGGCGGCCATTAGCATCTATTAATTTAGCCTCTGGCGTTTTATCCGCCGGCCTGAAAGAGGGAATTAAGTGGTGTGAGTTTTGGTGAGGGGTGTGAGGCTGAGTTAAAATGTGATTATTGCCCCGAGCCAGCTAACTGCGGCTAAGCCCTCTTGAAAGTGAAGGGGCGACTCCTCTCATTAGTGCCCAACAAGGGAAAGATATTAACAGGAAATAGCTGCACATTTTCAAACTTCCCTTTATGTGCCACGTGAAAAGGGCACTTAAAAATGTGAAAGAGGGGAAAGTGGAGCGTGACGGCCACAGCGATGATACTGTAGTGCAGAAGATCAACTCGAATGATTTGTTTTTGTTTCCTAGAAAGAGATGTGGATTGTATTGAGGCAAGGAGGGGCAGCTGCAGGGACATGGCTCCAGATTTGTTCTTCATTTTCTGCATCGTTTTGAAAAAGATGAAACAGAAACAAAGCAGAAATAACACACGCAAAGTTTACTACAAACTGACTGTGTGGTACGAACAGGATGTAAGTCTTTCATTTACCATCTTCTAAACCAGCAGTTCTCAAACTTATTTAAAATAATGTACCCACTTTGAAACCTTCGCATTCAGACAGGACAGACATAGTGCTACAACAGCTCAAGATATTTCCATTAGGAGAAATTCGCTGCAGCTTCAGACAGGATGCAAATGCACCAAAACACATGCAGATGAAAACACATCTCCGTGAACTTGACAACACATACCCGGCGTTTACTAAAAGTTATGCTTAAACAAAATGCTGCAAATAAAACGTGGAAACGTGGACACTACAAAGTGATGCACACAGCTAGCCAGAGTGCTTGTTGACGTTCATTTATTATACATTTGGCCAACTACTGTCACTGAAAATGTACCTGGCATATACATTGTATCGTCTTATTTGAACAAGACGATCGTATGATTCCTTCAGATATCATCACAAATGACTAGTGGACACACATTGACCACAAGGAGGTGCAAACATCTCTATAATCTTTCTAGTAGGCGGCAATTGTTCGGCGTCTTTAGACACTTGTTAGCACTTCTCAAATTCACCGGTGGGATTTTTACTGACACATTTTTTCTCGTATAACAAACCGTGAAACAACCAAAAACATGTTAAAAACACCATTAACTTTGAGAAGGGAATTAGATTAGAATCTTTAATGAGCACACAGCCAGGCTGGTGGAATTCGTGTTCAGTGCAGAGTATTACAGCTTGTTCCATACAATTCAACATACAATGAAAAGTACAACACACAGCACAGGGCAAAGACATATCATAACATAAAGTTCGAGGTGTGGTGGATTGTTATTGTTCATTGGGGTTATTTAGAGTCCATTTAGTGTCCGTATTGCAAAGGAATAGGAATAGGTAGGAAGTCGTAAAAGGCCAACTCATTTCCAGATTTTAGGACTCATTCCTGCACCACTCTAGTTGAGCCTGACATTTGATTGACAGTTCTTTATCTCTCTCTTTATAAACCGCCTCTTCTCCCTCTCAGCTTCAGGTGTGTCCAGGTGGCTGTGAAGTGCCATGGGAACACTGTGACATGACAGCAGAGGCTGTGACCCATGGCTACACACACACACACACACACACACACACACACCCACACACACACACACACACACACACACACACACACACACACACACACACTAACACACACACACACACACACACACACACACACACACACACACACACACACACACACACACACACACACACACACACACACACACACACACACACACACAGGTATTGTCTAGCGTGTCAAACTGGCCTCTGACACACTGATCCCTTTACATCCGCTCAATGCTTCACACTCACTTTTTAACTGCAGATCAAACACACACACACATACACACACACACACACACACACACACACACACACACACACACACCACACACACACACACACACCACACACACACACACACACACACACACACACACACACCATCACACATACACACTTTTCTACCTGTGAGTCTGCCTGATGCCACACAGACAGACAAAAAAGGGATTATTAAGCATTTTCATTTGTTGTCTATATATTTATTAATACACAAAAAAAGACATATAATAATATAAATATAATGTCTTTAATTAGAAATAATTTAGTACATTTTTTGCACCTTTATTAAATATATATTATATTTTTTTTTTTAAATAAACGAGAATCCCTTTTGATAATTTTTTCTCATTGCCCTTATTTTTTTACATTCTTCAATGTACTTATTTTTCAATTTACTAACTCATTTAATATTGTATTTAGTCTTCTTAATATTTCCATCATAATGTTCTTATCCTTTAAAAGTTTATCATTTTGTATTGCTCAACTTTGACTTTATATTCAAACCTGCACAGGAAACAGCATCCTTTAAGGAAATGAAAATTAAATTGATTGTAAAGTGTTTTGAAATATATTGCAATCCCTAATCCTTCTATGTACTCCCTGCAATATCTTCAACTACCCCTAGGAATCCCCGTACCCCCGGTTGGGAACCACTGATGGTTAGTTAAATGTTGATATAAGGTTGACAGGTGGCAGCAAACTGTCCTCTGCTGTCCTCTACTGGTCTCACTGGAGAATTACACTTTTATAATTTTCATACAACAGACTTTTTAAACGTGTATCCGGATCCTTAGGTTATATTGATGCCGTAGTTGTCACTTTTAATACAATTACATATCCTTTAATAGAAGTTTAAAGACCGTTTTGACTTTGTAATCTGATTTTGTAAAGTGTCTGTGACTTACTTACAAATAAAAAAAGTGTGTTATTAAAATTGTTAGTTGATTGGTGATTTTGTTTTGGGAAGATTGAAATTGGACAATTATCTCCGAACTTCAAAAAAAGGTATATTTATAAAGATGAAACACTTGACTCGGCAATTAATTTGAGGGTATTATTTTAACTCTGATACTGTTAGCAACAATACCAAACAGATTCAAGAGCTTATAACAAAAAAATCATAATTAATAAAAAAACCCTGTTTGAAAAAAGGTGTTGTTTGAGACTGAAGGGTAGATGTTGAAAATCCTTTAAAAATGATTAATTGCCATATTTTGAAAAGTTTAAAGTTTTAAATGTAGATTTGATTTGTATAATTGAGTTAGCACGGACAAGACACAGGCAAAGAACACACGTGAACATCTTATAAACTAAAAAAGGGAACAGGAAGTGGTGAAATGCTAAGTTTGTGTTTTTAGGACGCCTTAAGGATTACTGCTCAACTCTATATATGGTTTCATAGCAAGGAATTAAAATGAAAAACATAAATCATACACAAATATAATTACCATTGCGTTCTGCAAGCCTGTTTGCCAAAGAAAAAAGGTACCACTTTACAATACCCTTATAAAGGGTTTACGAATAGTTTGTAATTCATTTATTAATTAGGTTGTGAACACTTTATAAATCATTAATAAGCTTTTATAAGACATGAGATAAACCGGGCCCCTGTGACCGGTTGGTTGCCAAATAGTGAGCCCACATTGATCTGTCCTGCTAAGCCTTATATTGGCTACTTAGCTTACTTCGTCTTCCTCATCAGCCAGCATCCTTGGTATTTGATGCTCACTGGGTGTTTCTCAATGTAGAGTACGCTTGCTTGGTAGCACATGTCTTCCGAGTCACTTGCTTCAGAAGCGAGGCAAGATTACTTCCTGGCATTCGGAAAACGAAGAGTGGAACAGGCGAGCAAGTGTGCAGGTGTGCGTCATATGCATGGACGTAGTTTCCACTGGGGACATGTCCCGTTTGTGTCCCCCCTCAACTTTCAAATTGGTGTGTATTGTTTTTTTTTTAACGCATCGTCACGGAGGTGTGTGGTGGTTTTGTGTGAGAGAGAAGAGAGAGAGAGGAGAGAGAGAAGAGAGAGGATATAGAGAGAAGAGAGAGCACGAGAGAGAGAGAGAGAAGAGAGAGAGAGAGAGAGAGAGAGAGAGAGAGAGAGAGAGAGAGAGATTATAAACTGTTTCAACAATAAGGAGAGGGAGAGTCCTCTCCTGTCGGACTGAGAGGCTGAGATGATGTCAGTTTAGGTGAGGTAAAGGACTCGCTGAGCGATTAGATTGTAAACTTTAGTCTAAATTATCTCAGTGGGTCTCAAACGGTTTGGTCATCTATGTAAACAAATATTTCCATCTATTTAATATAGCTGTTCAAAATAAGTTAAGAAATCATTCCAATGTCAGTTGGTTGTGAGCATATTCTAATGGTTTTTGGAGTATTGAAATATATACAGTTCGGTTTCATAGTGTTGAGAGCTGTAACCATAAATTGAAAGACAAATATCTTCTCCTCATTATATACACTACACATTTTTCTTGGATTTGTTAACACCATAGTCCCTAATATATTTGTAGAAAGGCAAGAAATGGAATTAAATCGAGAAAAATGTTTCATTGCGGAGGACCCCCTGTTTTGTGTGTCCCCCCCCCCCCCCCCTCCCCACTTCTCAAACCAAAGTCACACCCTTGGTCATATGAGAGGCCCCGCCTTACATTTTCCGCCAACGACTTGGGGAAATTGGTCCGTGCGCAAAGCATTGTGGGGATTTTAAGACCGCAGAATCTACACATGTGCAGCCTCGAAATTTCTCGCTACGAAGTATGCCGGGCTCGGTAGAATTCCAAGTATGGTGGACATTGGAACAGTCCTTCGGCGGGACTCAATGACGTAGTATGCTTGAAATAGTGGTTCTTTACTCGACATTGAGAAACACCCTCCGAGTTGATTCTCGCTAAGTAGCCAATATAAGGCTTAGTCATCTTGCCAAATAGTGAGCCCACATTTATCAGTACTGTCTTATATTGGCTATAGCTGACTTTGTCTTCTTCATCAGCCAGCACCCTTGGTATCTGTTGTTCACTGAGTTGATTCTCGCTAAGTAGCCAATATAAGGCTTAGTCATCTTGCCAAATAGTGAGCCTGTGTTGATCTATGAAAACTATGCTTGAACTGGTTTATACATGGTTCTTAATGATTATTACATGGCTTAGTTGAATACTCGATTCTGATTGGTCAATTCAGAACACGTGACACGTTGTTAATCCAGACAGTTTGACTGAATGCTTCGCGTCGGGATCCCTGATCTGCCTGTCGGGTGTTCTTTTACCCATAATGACCGCCTCGCTGCACATTATTTCTTACTTAATAAAGTGTTTACAACTTAATTCATAACCTAATTATAAACCCTTTATGAATCCTTTATAAGGGTAGTCTTATTGTAAAGTCGTACCAGAACAAAATAATACCATGTTTTAATGCAGCACTTTTTAAAACAAAAGGATATCTTTATTGTGGACAATACAGAATAACACTCATATTGATCAGTTTTAGTTGCAGCGTTTTATTTAGTAAAGCGAAAAACAAACAGCTGGAATCAAATCCAACTAAAAGATGAAGTACATTTTTACATGGAAGTAGGCAAAAAATTAAAACTGTAGAACATGGAAAAATCTCTCTTATACAAACCTCAGTAAAATACTGGTCAAAGTGCTAGTGCATAAGGAGAAAGAGCTGTCAAAATACTGACATGTTTTTTTGGCAATACAAACGTCACATCCCATAAATCCATTGTCAAGTTAACAGAAAGGAAAAACAGAGCAATATATTTCACATCTTTAAAACACATAAACACAATATGACAGTTATCAAACGTTGTAAAGGCCATACCTGTACAGTGATTATTGTTGTGTGATTTTTAGGTAGTTAAGTAAAAAACCTCTATGATAGAAAACAGCAGTAAAGGATTAACTCAGATTGAGGGCCAAGTGGAACCAGCATTTAAAATGACAGTGAAAAAACTGAGAACAAAACATTATTTGGTGGCTAACAGTGCTAATATCTAAAGAAACAAAGCTAGCTAAAAGATCCAAAATGGTGGAAGCTATCAAATATGCTGAATCACTTAGTAAAATGTGCCGTTAGCTGTAGAATTAAATCCAGTTGTCTGACAGGAGATGTCTATATTTAAACTGATTGTCTGGTTTATGACTGAGCTAACTAGCTTGTTAGCTAAAACCCAGCTAACATTGTGAGCTATTTTATCTTAATCATGCCAGATTGATAATGGCAAGTTAATGTATTGGTAAGCTAACAAGCTAACAGTACGCTGCCAAATAGCGCGCTAACCCTAGTGCTATCTACTTTGTAAGGACGCACAAATACATTTTGCTCAGTCATTTTCTGGTATGACAGCATTAATATAGTCTAGAGCCATGTTAGCAGCCCCAATAGGATTTAAGGCTTAAAACACCTACCCAAACAAAGTTGTTTGATGGGTAAAATAACACTGTAATTCTAAGATTTCCAATAGAAGAGCTGGAAACGAAATTTAACTTAAGGTGTGCTTGAGCTGAAATGTGCACTCAATGCTAACATGCTAAAGATTAACAAGCATTTGACCAACTAATGGATGTTAACAAGGTGGTATTTAGCATCCCATCTTTAGTCTGCATTGTTTCGTAGCAACAAAAAAAAAAAAAAATCCCCAAATCAGGGGGTTTCTACATTTGCGAGAATTCATCGCTGGAGCAAAACACAAATTTAAAGATAACACAAATCTAAAGTTATCATGAGGTTTCATTAAGAACAGTACTTATTTTACTAAATAACAAAACAGTACATTGTGTGCTTACAGGGTTAAACACTTTAAGCCCAATGCTAACATGCTAACGGTAGCTTGCTAAAAGTAACATGCTTCCAGGTAGAAGTATTTTAGCAAGTTCATATCCTAAATGAGCAAATCTCAAGGAACAGGAAATCTCACAGGGTTAAGTCAGTTGTTCTAGAGGTATGCAGTTTGGTTATAACATGTAGAATTTAATCAATAACAAAATGAGGTTTGTTGAGAATATGTTAGATTATGAGTCTCATAAAACAATTTTAAATCCCCAAAATAAATCAGCTCCTGAATACCATATATATACACTTGACACTGAAAGTGAAGTGGTGTCTTCCCTTAACAGTAGCAATGCTAACTTTACATTAAAATGCATCAGCCGACTCCAGCAACATCAATTTGTGATAAAGTTGGGACACAAATTAAAAACCAAAAGCAAGGCACAAACCGGAAATGAGTAAAAGGAAGTGACTACAATAAAAGACAAATTATTTGGCATCTGGTTTGAACAAAACTAAGAAAATCCCAGATGATGGAAGTTGCTGGGGGAGCGTTACAGTTCAGCTTAGTTTGTTGACAAGTGTGTGAATCCACAAGGTTTACTTGAACTGTAAAAGGAAATCCAGGAATATCGATTGAACTTTTTTAACATTTTGAGCTAGTTACTTAATATGGTTTGCAAACTTTTCCAAAGATTACAAAGTCAACACAAAGATGTGAATAGACACACATTTGGGTAAATTCTGGAAAGCCTATCAGCTCTATAGTATTAGCCCATAATAGTCTGTGTATACACCCTGGACTATTTATGCTTTAAACAATACTGTTGCTGCCGTACTTATACCTAAATTATGTGACTTGAATGTTGATGGGTTAGGGTTGAATGTTGATGGGTTAGGGTTAGGGTTGAATGTTGATGGGTTAGGGTTAGGGTTGAATGTTGATGGGTTAGGGTTGAATGTTGATGGGTTAGGGTTAGGGTTGAATGTTGATGGGTTAGGGTTGCCTGTGCTGGGTTCGGGTTGGGTTGCCTGTTGCTGGGTTCGGGTTCGGGTTGCCTGTTGCTGGGTTCGGGTTGCCTGTTGCTGGTTCGGGTTCGGGTGCCTGTTGATGGGTTAGGGTTAGGGTTGAATGTTGATGGGTTAGGGTTGAATGTTGAGGGTTAGGGTTGAATGTTGATGGAGCAGCTAAATTGTCAGGTTAGCCTTGATGTCCAAAACTCCATTCACAAAACAAGCATTTTAAAAGTAGTTAGCTTTTTGTCTTTTGGAAAGACCTGACAAAGCATGAATTCAGACTTTTTACAAATTGGTATCATTATGGAGTTATTTCAGATAAATGCGCCGCAACATGTGATTATTTGGGGTTTAAAATAATCTAATTATACTGCAATAACACAAAAATGTTCGTGTAGAAACAGCATTAAAAACGTCCTTGTTCGATTCAGAGGGAAACATGATAGGGTATACTATAAATCACTTGTTGTGTTGATTATGAGGATCTCCAGGATGCTTATTGACACCTTGAAGTCCTCATCACAACATCCTTGAATGGACACTAAGCTCTGCTCTGAGTATCCGAACGGCCCGATTAAACCGTTCCCAAAGCACTGAGTTCACCAACGTCCAGTTTGTGCCAGAGTGACTGTCCGAACGCACCTGTAGGTAACGCACCTGTAGGTAACGCACCTGTAGGTAACGCACCTGTAGGTAACGCACCTGTAGGTAACGCACCTGTAGGTAACGCACCTGTAGGTAACGCACCTGTAGGTAACGCACCTGTAGGTAACGCACCTGTAGGTAACGCACCTGTAGGTAACGCACCTGTAGGTAACGCACCTGTAGGTAACACACCTGTAGGTGCTGCTGATGTTAAACCGCCATCCTGTAGCAGCGGAGTTCAGCCGACAGACAGGAAGACTCCGGCACACATCTCGCGCATCATTGTAAACATAACTAAATATTTGTATTATGAAAAGTTCACATCCCTGCTTCTTGAAGGAACACCGGGGGATCATCTGGGCGCAATTTCCTGCATCATGACGGGCAGGTGCATGCTGGGACACGAGTCTCTGTGCCTCAGTTTGAACATGAGCTGCTCTTTCTCCTGAGAAAGGTTCTGGTTAATCACCGCCTGCCTCTCCAGCGCCACCTTCAGGTCCTGCTGCTCCTTTGATAGCTGCCTGCAAGACAGAAAAGAGGGATTACTGAGAGATGTGTTTATTTCCTTGCAGCATGTTGTACTACGGATAAATAAAATAATATAAATATAAAAATATAAATAAACTAATAGGCGATTACATTTATTAATATAGTGGTACAAATACAAATTGAAACACAAAGAGTTTCACAATTTTTATATTTAATATCTGATTTAAATAGTTTGAACTATAGAGTGCCACAGTGACGCATCCTAAAACCCGGAAGTAAGCTTCTTCCGGTTCCTTCGACAAAAACCAATGCAATTTCTCCATAGGATTTAGAAAAACAGCTGGAAATAAGGTCTGTGGTTGAAACACATTTAAGAGACGGATCACGTTTTGTTCAGCCGGATAATCTCCACATGTCTATCCTACTTTTATAATTTTATAATCGTAAATCTAGTCGCCAGAAGCTAAATGCTAACGTTATGCTATAAGGAACTACAGCAGGGTCGCTGCTTCAACGTCACGCCAACTTAAGATCCATATTCAAACATACAGATTCTAAATGGAACGAGTTGAAGCGTTTGCTTTAACAGTGTGCAGGAGGCAGGTTCTTGCTTTCAAGCAGAACAGAAACTAACTTAGAGGAGTGTTTACGTGTTCGGTGTAATGACGTCCTCGACAACTTCTGTAGTCCTATTCAGCCACTTGGTAACAACCATCGTTTTTCAGACACGTCAACTTCAGAAATCACCAGTGGGGTCACTGCTGATGGATTTAATGTCGTAGAACAAAACGTGATCCGTCTCTTCAATGTGTCTCAACCACAGACCTTAGTCCAGCTATTTTCCAAAACCCTATGGAGGAATTGCATTGCTTTTTGGCGAAGGAACCGGAAGAAGCTTACTTCCTGGTTTTAGGACTGTGGCACTCTATTCATGTGTGGCTACAATTTTAAAATAATATAAACAATAAATAAACGAATTAATGTGTGTATAAAAAGGCATGTTTTTAAAACAGGATTGAATCATCTTTATAGTTGTTTTGGTGCAGGTGTCTGTTGTCCTGCAGGGGGCGCCAAATGAATACATCATTTATTATTGCACAAAGAAAAACTCAAATAAAGCAGCAGCAGGAAAAGCATTCACACAAAGACAATAAAACACATATTTAAATATATATCAATTTCTAATTATTACTACTTACTGCATGAAGGTCTGGCAGTTGTCTATCCGGACCCTCAGGTCCTCGTTCTGCTGCAGGACGTTGATGATCTGATCCTCCAGAGACAGATTCTTCTCCACCTGAACATCAAGATGGAGGAGGAGGAGGAGGAGGAGGAGGAGGAGGAGGAGGAGGAGGAGGAGGAGGAGGAGGAGGAGGAGGAGGAGGAGGAGGAGGAGGAGGAGGAGGAGGAGGAGGAGGAGGAGGAGGAGGAGGAGGAGGAGGAAGAAGAAGAAGATTATATTGATTATTATTTACATTTGTTTTACAATAATTGTAATAGGGGCAGAACAAATAACTTGTATTCACATTGTCCCTTTTCATATAAAACTACCTTTCAAAGACTTTAAAAAAACAAAATGCAAAAAACTAAGAAGTTTGGTAGTTTAGTTAAATCTGCAAAAAATAATCGTTAAATATTTTTGATTAATGATTAATCATAAAAAAAGTGAATGATCATGCAAACAAAGTCTGAACAAGCAAATATAGAGATTTTATTTGTATACTTTTATTCATAAAGATGTGTCCCCGGTGTGTCAGGGAACTCACGCAGCGTCAGAAAATAAAACCCTCTCTCTTTTCCTCCGTACCCAAATCTCTAAAAACGGGGGAACAACGGAGCTGATCCAGATTTGCGTCCGATATGACGTAATATCTGAAATGTGGACCCACGGCCCAATCAGAAACGTTGCTATCAGAAACAATGCCCGACTGTTTTGGACATAATATGGTCGGTGTTTACATTAGCATCGCTAACACTCAGAGCTAACCTGTACTGGAGAGCATGTGTGTGAAGAAGCAGGAAGTAAAAAGGAACTCACCTTGTGGTATAACCGGCAAGAGAGAAAGCCTTTGAGCTCCATACTGTTTCAGAGAGAATCCTTGATAATCCATGATATGGCGTTTCATCACGGCAGCATTTAGTTTAGACAGTAGCTGCCGGGTCCCGCATGAGCTCAGACCCCCCCTTTTTTATTATTTCTCAATTTTTTATTAAAGCTTTATTCCCAAAATCAGCAATTTTGAAACAGGAAGTGAAATAGAGGGATATGAGGCATGGCTAGAATGGGTGATCTGTTTGGTAATTTGAGCAAAACACGTCATAGAAATGTTTTTTATATATATTTCTATATATCTGAGACCTAAGCTATTGCCTAAAAATAGCATGATAGGGGAGCTTTAAAAGAAAGAATGAATCAATAACAAATAAGCATTCCTCGTGAGGGATAGCATCACTATATTTCCCTACCAGATCTTCCATCTGCAGCAGCTTCCGGCTCTGCTCCTGCACGCGCTCGCTCTTCATCTCAATCACAAAAAGCAGAGACTCCTGCTCGGACTCCCAGAATGCACCGGGGCTGCCATGGGCCTGGAGGGTATTGATAAAGTACACGAAGGACAAAAACACAGTTACGCTTTATAGGAGTAATTCATGTAGTTATCAAATGATATGCATTTATATTTATTAAGCAGCTTTTAAAGTGTCCATTAATTAGATCATGTGTAAATACGAAAAATGCAAATCAATTAATTGTTATATAATGTCTGATTGAATTGATTAATTACATATGTTTTAAATTCACATTTTTAAATACATCATTTGTCACAAAGTTTAATATTTAAAAAAAGATGATTTAATGTTCATTTAATTATATTTGCTTATACATCTAAAATATTATTTTACCATCTTTATATACTTTAATAAATTGCAGGTGTGTTTTGTCCAGCAGGTGGCGCCACTTTAATGCATTATTTATCATTGCATAGAGAGTCATGCATTCACAAAAACAACATATACAAAACTAAATTAAATAAATATTTAAACATCTTACATAGTTTAGTAAAAACCTGTCGATGTTCTAGTGCAAGACATTACACACTTTAACTCTCTGCTGCGATTATTTAAAACCTTTACGTTTGTAGTTGTATCCTTTGCATACGTAAAAACTACAACAAAGATGGCGTCCCACCTGAATGTTCCTCTGCAGGTCCTTCTTGAACGTGGACTGTTCGACCCTCCTCCTCAGCTGGTTGTAAACATGCAGGTCTGCAGAAAGCTGCTCCACTTGACCCTGCAGTCACGGGAGGAAGTCAAATACAATATAATGATAATAAAGAATGATGTTACAGCTGCAGAGTGAGACACACAGCAGGTTACATGTACAGGTGTGAAATGCATCTAAAAGAGAGAACATATATATTAAAGTTAGATTTTTCTGCAGTTTTTAAAAGGTATTTTCTTTTACCTTGAGGACGTTTTCTGCAGCCTGAAATGTTTCCGTCAGTTCAGTTTTCTCTTCTTCGTGTTTCTTCTGCAGCTCTGCAGTAAAACAACAAAACACATTTTAATTTAGCTGATTTTCTATGCATTTATTGTTATTAGCAGCTTTTTAGTTTTCAGGGTATATGCAGGAATCCTGAAGTCACATGTAAAACCTTTTAAGACCTTTTTTAAGACCCTTTCCATACATCTTAAGACCTCATCGCCACTTTGAGTTCTAACCGGTTACCTTGGCGACACACTTTACCTCACATTGACTATAGATTATCCTTCCTCCTTATCTTCCAACCATTTGCAGTATTTTTGGAAGTTTAAGTATATTTGGAAGTTTAAGTATATTTGGAAGTTTAAGTATATTTGGAAGTTTAAGTATTTTTGGAAGTTTAAGTATTTTTGGAATTTGCGGTATTTTTGGAACTTTAAGTATTTTTGGATCTTTAAGTATTTTTGGAACTTTAAGTATATTTGGATCTTTAAGTATTTTTGGAATTTACGGTATTTTTGGAACTTTAAGTGTTTTTGGATCTTTGGACCCTTTCCATACATTTTAAGACCTCATCGCCACTTGGAGTTCTAACCGGTTACCTTGGCGACACACTTTACCTCACATTGACTATATACAGTATTGATTGTCCTTCCTCCTTATCTTCCAACCATTTGGACGCAGACTTGCATTTCCCCATAACGATGTTGCTTAGCAACCGGCGTAAACGGACCTTCGTGCTATCAAGCAGTGAGCGTGCGATGTCCTGTTCAGATGACGTCAAACCCAACGGGATGCCATCAATAAACTACACAGAATCACACTACACACCTACGCAATGATTACATTCAGGCAGACTGTAGAACACAACCTCTCTGGACCATTTATATACTTATTGAAAACAAGCTGCAACATATAAAACCTTGGAAAATGCCGTTTAATACTTTTGAAGACCCTTAATTTTCGCTAAATAGATTGATCAACTTTTAATACTTTTTAAGACCCCGCGGACCCCCTGGTTTTAATTAATATTATTTGTTTAATGTCTTGTATTTGTTTTTCCCGTTGTGAAGAACTTTGTGAAATCGGACGTCAGACTTTTTACAAATCCCCCTCAGGATGGGGTTATTCCAGCATCTGTTTATTGCAAGTAAAAAGTGTATAAAATGAAAACATAAAATGACTGTTACCTTTCACGTTCCTCTCGTGTTCTTCAGATGCAGTTTTATTTTTCTGTTGGTGCAGAACGTTTAAACCCGCCACCGTCTCCGTCTTCACCTGAAGAGACGAGTTTCAGATTCAAAGATAAAACTCAGGAAGGAAACGAGGACGTCATGATGTACTCTCTGTGGGAAAACTTAAACGGGCCCTATTCTGCTTCTTGTGGGTTCCCTTTCCGGTAGTGTGTTATAGAGGTGTGTGTGAAGGCGGCTGTGGCTCAGTGGATAGAGTATATAGACATTTTATTGATTGGGATAAACCCCTTGAGATGCACCATCTCGTTTTCAAGGGGGTCCCGACAATAGCAACAACTTACAGACATACATAAACAAAAAGACAAAAAACAAAACATGACACACAAGACAAACCACATACAGTCTGTTAAGTGAAATTCAAGCAATGCACAATCATTACAATTTGAGACAGTCGAGGAAATCAGTTTCATCAATATCAGTTATAACAAGTACAGACCGGTTGAAAGTGAGATAACAATGCATGTTTAAACATACCCAATGATGCAAGAGATCTAATAGCAGCAGGTAAAGTATTCCAGTCTGTTGGAGCTTTAAAAATGAACGCTCTTCTGCCAATACATTTTTTTGCAGAGGAGACAGAGAAATAAATCTGGACAGAGTCTAACTTGATGATTTGGTGAGTAGGGTACGAAATACTGCTTTAAATAAGAGGGATAGTTAAGATAAATGCATTTAAATATCAGCTGAAGCCAATGCTTGTGTCTTCTTACATTTAAGTAAGTGTGTATTGTAAATGTTTTATTTATTTATTATCATGACTTGCTCTTATCTGTATTCAGTGATGTCATCTATTGTAAATGTGTACAATGGTATAACAATGTTGTGGTATTTTTATTATTGCTTGTAGGATGTCTATCACCATCTGGCAAAGGGACTATCGATGAAAACTAGCCTTTTGGCTAATTCGAGTACTTTTACATGTTTTTAATATGTTGATTAATGTACAGTCCCTTGTTTTAAATAAATCAATTCAATTCATTTCAAGAAGGCCATTTAAGTAGCAAGTTCGAGTCCCACTGCCGTCCGCATGTCGTTGTGTCCCTGAGACCCTTCACCCCAAATTGCTCCTGTGGGGATTGTCCACAGTACTGAGTATGTAAGTCGCTTTGGATAAAAGCGTCTAACAAGTAACATGTGATGTAATGTGTGCATGTGAATGGTCTGCAGAGGCTAACATCCCTGTGTTCCCTCAACCTGCATTCAAAGAGAGAGCAACCTGCAGACGGTTTGCTTTATTAATAAATCAGTAACCAGAGATGTAATGCCGCACAGCTGCCGTCTACAAATACACCTCTGGCTGGGTTTCTGCTCCAGAAGCACATTTTCCACTTCTTCTGCCAAATATATCGTAATACTGCGTTTATATTGAGCTTTAGAGGGAAGGTAACTCAGTAAATATACTGAAGTAAGGTATTTATACAACCTTTGAGTACCTTGTGCATCACCAGGGAAACATTCCTCCATAATACACATAACAGAAAAACTTAAAAAACCTAATTCAATAAATGCATGTTAACATCTTATTTTGTCTTTTACTGTTGGTATTATGTTTCTGACTTGTATGTATTTACCGATATAGTTAAACTTAATTGTTATGTTTCATACTGGGTAAAAAAATCATATTTAAATACATAATATTTATATTTCGTGAACATCTCTTTAAATGATTGTCATATATTATCCACTGTATTGTATTTTAACATTTGTGGGAGCTACTGTACACCGTCATAAAGTCATGCCATACACAGAGGGACAGTGTTGTGAGCTACTGTACACCGTCATAAAGTCATGCCATACACAAGGGGACAGTGTTGTCTTTCCAAGTTGAATTTTGAATTTTGTTAACACTGCTCAAAAAAAGTAAAATGCATAAAAATCCCTGTTTTTGTCTCCGTCTATGAAAAGGACATCAGTACACCGTTTGAAAGTGACGCACAAACAACAATAGGTGTTTTTTGTTGTCAGAATAAATGTCCCTGTATCGTGTTTCTGTGATTAATAAAGTTTTATCCTCACCTTATCGAGGATGCTCAGCACGAGGGAGCACACCTCCTCGTCGGCGTGCTCCCTTAGAAGCTCCGCCCTCTCCGGGTTCCCATTGGCCTCCTTCAGAATCCTCAGCTGCCAATCAAATCGCTCCAGCTGCTTCTGCAGGCCAACATCCGGATCAGCTGACGCACGTGAACCTGCAAGATACACAGAGGTGGGAAGTAGTTGAGTACAAATACTTCGTTACTATACTTAAGTACATTTTTCTGGTATCTTTACTCCACTACTTATTTTTCTGACGGCTTTTTACTTTGACTTCTTACATGTTGAACACAAATACCTGTACTTTCTACTTCTTACATTTTGAACCCAAATACCTGTACTTTCTACTTCTTACATGTTGAACTCAAATACCTGTACTTTCTACTTCTTACATGTTGAACACAAATACCTGTACTTTCTACTTCTTACATGTTGAACACAAATACCTGTACTTTCTACTTCTTACATGTTGAACTCAAATACCTGTACTTTCTACTTCTTACATGTTGAACCCAAATACCTGTACTTTCTACTTCTTACATGTTGAACACAAATACCTGTACTTTCTACTTCTCACATGTTGAACTCAAATACCTGTACTTTCTACTTCTTACATGTTGAACTCAAATACCTGTACTTTCTACTTCTTACATGTTGAACTCAAATACCTGTACTTTCTAC